ACATTAAACAATGTAAGACTTGACTATAAAATTAAAACGGTGTAGTAGGTGTTTATAATGTAAAATAAGTCGAACAATTGTTTTGAAGAGTACCAAAGTCTTCCATTAGCATGGTAGACCGTAAAGGTAAAATCTTTGTTTTTTTTTGTGCAGAGTCATGGCTAATGCTGATTAGAAGTCGTATAAAGTTCAGAATGGTCCAGATTAATTAGGTAAACAACATAGAAGCAAAAAAACAAAAAAAAAAATGAACCAAAGAAATAAATTAAAATTTTATAAAAAAATACACTTGTTTTGGATGGTTGATGAGACGTATGTACTGCGAGACTTTTTACAACTTCCAGATCATGTCACTATGGGAAAAAGGCTCTTAAGTGATATTTAAACAATAATGACAATTTTATACCAGGAGAGTCAAATGCACAAAACATGCCAGTAATATCGGTTCACGACGTATAAAAGTATTAAGTCAAAATTTCAGTCTACCTCAAAAAAAATATACGGTTTTTTCCTAATTCTTGAGAAGTTTTTTTCGGAAACTACCAAAGATATTTCGATGAATTTTGTCACACGTTATTTTTTTTCTGCCAGGGATCAAGTATGTTGTTATAAATATGATATGAAAAGAAATCATACTACCAACGTAGATCTGTATCGGTCCACTTACGAAAATCACTTAAACGCACATATTTCATTGATAAATTAAGCAAATATGTCTTGGGTATATATGAATCGCTCTACGAAATTTTTTTTCGAATAGGCCCGTAATTTGTCATAGCTCCCATATAAAGTCCTCTTCCAAAAATCTTTTAAACGTATATATTTCATTGAATTATAAATCTAAAGGGATAAAATTCGACTTGAATATGTTTTGTGTACATATAAATAATTTTAAGGAATTGTTTATTTCATAATTGGTAATAGCTCCCATATAATTGGTAATAGCTCCCATATAAAGTCCACTTCCGAAAATTACTTATGGTCACAACTCCCATATAAGGATCATTTCCGAAAATTACTTAAACGCACATCGACAATCAAAGTTATCGGGATAAAATTCAACATTAATGTGTATTTTGTATAAATAAATCATTGTACGCGATCGGTCTATAATTTGTCTTAGCTTTCATATAAGGTTCGCTTCTGAAAATCACTTAATACCACATACATAATTCATTATTTAAGGGCCCTTCAGACGATCACACTTTACGTACGATAAATCTAATGAAAAGTAAAATGAAATTGCATCCGTATGACAAAAAAGAGAATAAAAGTCGTTTGATTTATATTTTTCGTGTTTTACAAGATTGTTATAAAACAATAACAAAGTAAGATGGAAACAGCTGTTTCACTTTTTTTTGTATGTGCCCAGCGGTAAATGAAACAAAGTACTTAGATAATATTCGATGACATCAGTATGACGTTCTAAGCGAGCAATCTAAGTACTTAGAGTGCAATGTATGCGTAATCCAACATATCATGCACTTTAATTATAACATAGATTACGATTTAAGCAGAGAGTTAGCTGCCTTTTTCATTTTGTTTTTTGTTTTTATTTCTTAAAAAAAACCTAAAGTACCGTTTTATTTTTCTTTTGTATACTACATGAAAAGAAGAATCTTTTTGTATCAGTTTAAAGTTGATCTTTTGTAAGTGAAGTTGTGTTTTGTTAAAAAAGTTATTTTATTGTAAAAATTTAAAATAATTGTAGTGATCTAAACGGCAGAAATGGATTTAAAAATTGGTGTAAATTTATTTCATACATTCTAGTTTTAATACTGATAATTTCCTCCTGATTGTTTACAGGATCTGTAAAGGAAGATGGCCGAAAGTTTCAAAAGAAAATTAAGATTAATTTCATTTATCTTCGTTAAAATTGTTTAATTATATTTTTATTGAATTAACTATAATACATGTTTATTATTTGATAATCATTTTTAAATAAACTTACATAATTTTAAAATAAATATAAAAAAATATATATTTTTTCTATAACAAAAAGGGAAGACAAATGCAAATAGGATTGTAATCTACATACATTACATTACTATTTGCAAGCGTTTATAGGCGTCTCATTAACTTCGCTTAGAACTCCACACATTATGTAAGTGAAATTTTAATTTGTCCTAATGATATTGTGGCTTACATTCTAAGCAAGAGCACATCGATGTGGCAGCCTAGGACACTTTTATGTTAAATCTAAGTAGAAGAATAAGTGAAAGCATCACCACTGACTGCCACGAAATATCACTTAGATAAGCGAGTACATAATGTATATTTTTACCGCTGGGTGTTTACTGATGTAATGCTACTTGCTTGTTTTTTGAATCATTTAAAAAAAATGAAGAGAGCCATACAACTGTCAAATTTTCCATCCGTTCTCTCCATGTGTGATGGTTTCGTTACATATTGCGTTTAAACGATCCCATCCGTTCTCTTCTACCCAAAAATTTTGACAGATCATATTACTTGTGTGCTCGTGTGAAGCGGGCTTAAATGATTAAATCCAGATAAAACAAGTAAGAGTGTTATATTCGGCTGTGCCGAATCTTGTATACCCACCATCAAATCATTGCCAAAAAGGAATGCTTCCTTATAAATAAACTTTGATATTTAAGAATCGATGCTTTTGTTATTATCAAAACAATTTTCTCATTTATTACATCTATGTATAGGGAAATTTTTGTCGAATTTTGTCGCTGTCCTTGTATTTTTAAGGTATCAAAAAGCGTTAAAGTTATTTTCTGAAGGGACGTTTGGTCATTTATGTACCGATCCTCGTCAAATTTTCTATAACGATTTTAGTTTAGGCTAGTAATGAGCGTTAAAGCCATTTTCCGAAGGGGACCGTATATGGGGGTAGGATAAATTATGGACCGATCGTTATAAAATTTTACAAAGCGATTTAGGTTTCTATAGAAAAGTTTATGTCGAATTTCATCGCTATAGATGCTTCTTTTAGACAATTATGAACCTTAAAGCCATTTTCTGAAGGGGACCTTATATGGGGGGTAGGGTCAATCATGGACTGATCCTTATAAAATTTTACAATGATATTAAAGTTTCTATAAAATATGTTCGTGTCGAATTTCTTATTTTAGACCATTCTGAGCGTTAAAGTATTTTTCTGAAGGGGACTTTATATGGGGAGTAGGGTCAATTATGAACCGATTCATATACAATTTTACAAAGCGATTTAGGTTCCTATAAAATATGTTCATCTCGAATTTCATCGCTATAGATGCTTCTTTTGGACATTTATGAGCGTTAAAGTCATTTTCTGAAGGGGACCTTATATGGGGGGTAGGGTCAATTATGGACCGATCCTTATAAGTTATGAGCGTTAATGTCATTTTCTAAGGGGGACCTTATATGGGGGATAGGGTCAATTATGGACCGATCCTTATAAAATTTTACAATGATATTAAGGTTCCTAAAAAATATGTTTATGTCGAATTTCATCGCTATAGCTGCTTTTTTTAGTCAGTTGTGAGCGTTAATGACATTTTCTGAGCGGGACCTTATATGGGGGATAGGGTCAATTATGGGCCTATCCTTATAAAATTTTGCAAAGAGATTTATGTTCCAATAAAACATGTTTGTGCCGAATTTCACCGCTATTGATGCTTTTCTTAGCCAGTTATGGACGATAAAGTCATTTTCTGAAGGGGACTTTAAATGGGGGAAAGGGTCAATTATGGACCGATCCTTATAAAATTTTACAATGATATTAAGATTCCTAAAAAATATGTTTATGTCGAATTTCATCGCTATAGCTGCTTCTTGTAGTCAGTTATGAGCGTTAATGTCATTTTCTGAAGAGGACCTTATATGGGGGCTAGGCGAAATCGTGGACCGATATTGCCCATTTTCAATACCAAACAAACTGCATCAATATAAAATATTTGTGCAAAATTTCAGCTCGCTAGCTGCTTCCGTTTGGACTCTAACGTGTTTTCAACAGACGGACAGACAGACGGACATGGCTAGATCGTCTTAGAATTTAATAAGGATCCAGAATATATATATTTTTATGGGTCTTAGATGAATATTTCGATGTGTTACAAACGGAATGACAAAAACAATATACCCCCCATCTTTTTTGATGGTGGGTATAATTAGACATGAGTATGTTCTGTGTATAAATATGTAAATCATTTTGCTAAAATGTTTTCGAATTAGCCTATTATTGGTGATAGCTCCGATATAAGGTCATCAACATTTTTTCAAAAATCACTTAAACGAATTTTTGCCATTAAAAATATGGACGTCGAAGTGAAAATCGACAAATTGTTTGGTATCTTCAAGATCGACCCTTAATAAGTCAAAGCATCCGTACAAGGACCACATCCGAAAATCACTTAAATTTTTAATTTTTTATGAATTTCCAATATTAATGCGAAGAATATAAAATGAAATTATAACTTTAAAATAAAAACTATTCCAATCGGCATGTGGGGCAGACCTGATAAATAAAAAACACTTTTAAATTATTGATACAATTTTTCATTTATATAATTTTTTTTTTGTTATTCCTTTATTAAAAAATAAGCAAAACTACGTTTATAACAAGATGATTTTCATTTTCTTCTCATGCTTAATTAATTAGTTTTTGTTGTTATTTATTTTCTTTTTTTTTAATTTTTTATTTAATCTCTTGTTTACCAAAAAACCAAAAATAAAATATGTTTGTTTTTTTACTTTTCTGTTTTTGTTATTATTTTTCGATTACAAGTGTTTTATGAGTATTTTTTGTTTTATTTCATATTGTTTTTATTATTATTTTTTAATATTTATATGTAGGTCATGTTCATTGATGCTTTTTTGTTTGTTATTTTCAAAAAAATGGGATACAATTACATACATAACATTTTTCATTTATTTAATTATTTATTTATAACTTCTTTTTTATTCTCATTTATTTCATTGTTTTTGACTGCAGTTTATTTGTTAATTGATTTCTTTCGTTTTTAATTTCTCTTTGACTAAAGTATCAAATGGTTTGTTTGTTTGTTTGTTTGTTTGTTGGTTGGTTGTTAGTTAGACTACTCTCTTACTATGGCTGGATAGGATTTGGATACTCACGGTACCTATACAATACAATTATTCCAAAAAAGAAAATCCTTAAAAAGAAATTTGTATGTTTCTCTTAATTATTCTTAATATGCAAACGAGTATGTATGTACGTATGTACGTGTGTTTGTTTGTGTTTTTTTTAAGGGGGAAGGAAGTGAGATTGATTGATCATCAATGCTTGACGAAATGTTTGTGTTTGTTTTCATTTTCGCTAAATGTTTTTGTATGTATAACAGTAAGTCCTTGTTGTTGTAGTTTGGTGTTGACTGTTAGTTACATAATTTATTTTGCTGTAATTGAAGTGATTTTTAACTTTATTTGATTATTTAAAAAAACAAATTTTTAAATTATTTGATTTTATAAAAAATTTTTTACAAATACCATATTATGCTTTTATTAATTTCTAAAAATGTTTAGAAAATTACAAAACTTATATTGTGGAGGGGGGAGAGGGAGAAGAAATGTCTGTTTTAGTTAATGTAACGGAAAAAAGGTGTTTGCTTGTGTATGTATATTTAAATTTTTTTTGCTTAAATTTTCCTTTCGAAATTTGTTATTCAGTACTGTTTTATTTCATTTTATCTATGTATTGTATTTATTTATTAATTAATTTATTTTTATTTAGTAGTTTTTATTTGTTCTTATTTCTCGTTTTTTTTGTCTTTATTATAATCTATAGTTTTTTGCTTGTTTGTTCTAAATATGTTTGGATTTTGTTTTTCTTTTAATTCAATGGTTGCCATTTTTTAGTTTATGTATTTTAAATTCTTGAATTTCCAGTTATATTTCATTTTAAAGTTTCTTTATTGATTTTATTTAATTTTACACAGATACAAATTTAACGGTATTATTGTTTTATTCATTTCATACTTAATACAATTTAAATTTTCTTTTAAAGTTTCCAATTAAATTTTATTGTTTTCAGTTTTTGTTCTTTTTTTAATTTTAACTAATTTTTCATTACAATTAAATTTCCAATTTCTTAATATCGTTACTAATTATTTGTTTTTTTTTTTTTTTTTTTGTTATTTTCATTATGATTTAAAAAAAATGTGTTGTTTTTTTTGGTTTTCATTTAATTTTTTTTGTTTTTGTCCAAAGATTTGTTCAATGCAATTATTTTTTTTTTATTTGGGTTTTTTAAAAATTTATGTATTTCTTTTGTTTATTAAATATTAATTAATGTAATGAGGAATAAAAACTATCACGCACTAGAATTATCATTGGATCGGGATGTGGATGGACCGGCCCCAATATCATCGCCTAAGACGAATGTGGGACTCTGGCGGGACGTAGACGCAACAGGTTGATAGTGATAACCCTCACGATAACGTTGATTCGGTTTACGGGTTGTTTGAGTATGACCCAGTGTTGGTCTTTGATTATTTAATTCATTGGGTCTTTTGGCTGAAAAAGAAAAATTTGAATTGATTAATTATTGATTTTATTAAAGTATACAATAAACATTAAATTGCACAGGACAACAAAACTTAAAACAAAAACAACCCTACACCAGTTATACAAAAAATGTGGTTTAGTGTTCATAATAAAGCATTTAAGATGAATTGTACCTTGTCTGAGATATACTATATATAAAATTGGGGATATTTAAGTCAAATTTTGAAGGAGTCTAGGGTCAGATGAAGGCCTATAATTATAATATTCATGAGGGTCATCAAGGCTAGTATAGAACTTGGTTTTGCAGCATTTTGTCGAGATATTAAACAAAACTATGGTAAAATAATTCACCGATGTTAACCATTTTCAATAGGCTTCGTCTCTAGTACTATAGAAGATCATATGCCAAATTTAATTGAATTATCTTCAAAATTGCTTGTAGTTTGATTACAAGGTTTACAAGCCCTATTCGGGAGTTCTGTTGTATGGGGGCTAGGTGAAATAATGGGCCGATTAGGGTTCTATAAATCGACTTTCGAATAATCGAACAATCGACTTTTTGTCGAAAAAAGTCGAAAAGTCGAAGTCGACTATTTTGTTCCAAAAAAGTCGATAACTCGACTATCGTCTATGAAAAAAGTCGAAAAGTCGACTTTGTAAATAAAAGTCGAAAAGTCGGAAAGTCGAAAAAAGTCGAAAAAAGTCGATAAGTCGAAAAAAGTCGATAAGTCGAAAAAAGTCGAAGAAAGTCGAAAAAAGTCGAAAAGTCGAAAATAGTCGAAAATTTTAAAAAAGTGGAAAAGAGGTCAAAAACTCTAAAATAGTCGGAAAAACTCGAAAAAAGTATAAAATAGTCGAAATAAGTCGAAAAAAAGTCGAAATAAGTCGAAAATAGTCAAAAAGTCGTAAAAAATCGAAAAGTCGAAAAGTCGGAAAAAGTCGAAAAGTTGAAAAAAGTCGGAAAAAGTCGAAAAAAGTCGAAAAGTCGAAAAAAGTCGAAAAGTCGAAAAAAGTCGAAAAGTCGAAAAAAGTCGGAAAAAGTCGAAAAGTCGAAAAAAGTCGAAAAGTCGGAAAAAGTCGAAAAGTCGGAAAAAGTCGAAAAGTCGGAAAAAGTCGAAAAGTCGAAAAGTCGACCATTTATAAAGTACTAAAAGTCGAAAAGTCTAAAAGTCGACTTTTAAATAAATGAAAAAGGTCGAAAAGTCGAAAAATCGACTTTTCATAAAATGGAAAAAGTCGAAAGGTCGAAAAGTCGACTTTTAACTAAATGCAAAAAGTCGAAAAGTCGAAAAGTCGACTTTTTGTTTCAACTATAGAACCCTAGGGCCGATCATAACCATTTTCAATAGGCGTCGTCCCAAATTTTATTGAATTATCTTCAAATTTTCTAAATCGAGTCAAAAAATGATTCTAAGCCGATTGGTATACTTTATATGTATAGGACCAGTATTATTGTGCGTTACAAACATCAACACAAACCCAGTATACCCTAAACTAACTACGCTTAATCCAAATATAAGAAATTCTCAATCACATCAGATTTTTGAGATATGTCCTAAAATTTTAAAACTCCCTGTTTATGGCTATACTTGAGACGTTATAACAGCGCGAAGACACCTTTATTTATATAAACTGGCATAAATGGACTATCTATATCGAAATCACTGGCGAATTCAATGAATAATTTCACTTACAAGCCAAACAGTGGAATAGTCTTTGAATCGTAATATATTCGATGGTGTTATGTTATCGAACGCAAGTCTGATAAGGATTTCAAAAATCACTTTTATCTTCAGTGCGAACTATTAAAATCAAATCACTTCAATGTTTACCAATTCAGAATCTTGTCAATGAAACGCAAAAGATTCTATCATCTAAACAACACAAAGACTCCAAGGGCATCATGCTGGTTTTGTGGCGATCTTCAATACGTCGGAAATTGTTTATATTCGATACACACATGGTCCAAGTGTAAGAAAATGGCTCACATAGATTGTTACTGTTCTGCCTCCCTTCAATGTGATATATCTCTGACGTTAACGAACGCAATGTTATGGGTATTGATAGCATTAAATTTATGGGATACACCCATTATATTTTTGTTTCCTCAGATAAGTTTTGAGAACGACACGGGAATATTGAAAACCTCTTTCAAGTTTTCAGTCACCTGGATTTAACAAATGCCGAGAGTAAATAATTATTAAATGTTAATACAAACAAGGGACTATTTCGATACAACCGTCTAACACCCGAAATAAAATCTACACCGGGTGCGTTTTAGGTTTTCAGGGACCAGCTTTGTACATGTATACACAGAGGAAAATATCAGTAGAAAATTGAAATTGATACAAATTTAAATAACACCCATTTATCATTTTGACAACGCATCGTTATTGCAAAAACGCATTGTTGTCATTTTGTTGAAGATATGACAACTATCCTTACATACTTTTTCAACGAATGTTATTGAAAAATTATATACACTTTGGTGTTAATTTGGTAATTTTAAAACGTCTTTTTTCCCTCTGTGTAGAAGATACAAAAGCATAAATTGATCATGTTAGCCAGCTAAAACTAATCCCGGATCTATAAAATACTTGAAAACATGTCAGAGTAAAGATTACTTTTGTCTCTATTCACAAAATAATTTATTAAACATTTTCACACCATTTCGCTATCGAATAATGCAAATCAATGACGAGAAACTTCATACACTAGCCTAACATCGAGTTGCTGAACATGTCCGAGTCATAAAACCCAACAACCGTGATCAGTCTCTGGTTCCTAAAATGTGTAATGCCAAGAAATAGTTATAGGACAATACAGGACAAGCGACAAATTAAATCAGAAGTAATTATCTCCCAGTAATACAAGATAAAATTCCTAAGAATTTGATAGAAAAACTAAGATAAACGATGACATTTTGGAAGATCAATTTCATTCTATATCGGACCCATCATTAGTGGTAGTGGGTTCAATCGCTGAAGAATTTACGTAAATTAAGAATGGGGTTTGAATGGGTTTCTCCGATCGATTGCAAACGAACGATCAAAATAACATAACCTGATTAAAGTTAAAACTTGACAGGTTCGAACTTAAAAATCTTAAACGAAATAAAATAAATACTAATAATAAATGCATTCCCATTATTTCCTATTAAGTACACATACCAGGTATATAAGGCTTTTGATTATTATAGGACGTTGGTGATGATATTGTACGATTTTGTTGATTGTGGTGATTTGTTTCACTGTGCGTTGTTACGCTATTATTACAATTATTGTGATTTTGTGGTCGCTGTTGTGGTAATTGATGGTGATTATTCGGCACATCAGTACTATCGATTGGACTCATGGGTGTCATCTCACGATCCTCAATATACATGTCGCTACCGTCATCTGGAACATGACGATATTGTGTCCATGGCCATGAGGCAATACCTGATAATATAAATGATTCTACAGCACAAATATAACCAATTATCTGCAAGAACACATATAATTATTATCTGATTAGATATGTAATAGACATATAGCTTACCGCTGATGTAAACAAGGTGTCCTTTGTGTATTTTGGCACCCAGGTGTACTCTTCGGCAAAGAGAACCATGTGCATAATAAGTGTAGAGCTCAAAATCAATATTAAACCAATACTCAGGTACATCCATGTATTCTGAAATTAGATATTATTTAGATTACATTTAATTGATATTATGATCGATTACAAGTTTTTATAATCATAATGAATTTCGAACTGATTATGTAAGTCATGACTTTAGATTGTAAAGTTTACAAGATTTATTTCTTGCATTTAATTTTAAGGAGACTAAATCTTTCCCACTTTTATGTATATTCTCAATCTAAATTTTCTTTAACTTCTAAATACTTACAACTTTTGTCCAATTGAAGGGAAACATTAGAGCTATATGAGAAACGTCAAGAAATATCATGAGACATGTGATTAAAAGGGAGAATAATGCACAAAACACCATCAATCTGAGGCGTCCGATGAGTGGCAGTAAAAAGAGACCGACTTGAACAGTACCCGCCGAACATTCGCAGGCAAGACAAGCGGCTGAGGACAACTGAAATTATTAAATAAAGAAATTAAAGATTAGACAAATTATTCGGTATTTTTCTCGAATAAAATCAACATTTACCACCAAAAGTATTCGCACAATCCCTGTAGGCGTTTTTAAATGTTGCGGATCACAGTGTAGGGCAACACCCCATGGCAGTGGCGTTTGGGCGGTACGCTGCTTATAATTGGCGTGGGAATCCCACGACGTGCACGTACCCAGCGGCGATTCCAAGGATAATGATAGCTCTCCGGCTCTGCTGCCAGCTATTTCAAAATCCTGTTCATCGTCCAGCTGACAGCAGACCGGCTCTAGTTCACGTATTTCGTCCAGTAGAAGTTCTATCTCGTCCGTTCCATATAGATCAGATACAGACGGTATGTAACGTTGGGGTTGTTGCATTTCCCGCTGCGGGGGTTGTCCCACATCACCGGATCTTGTGCGAAGAAATTTTTAATATTTGAAAATGTTTTTGGCCTACGACTACCACCAAAACACAATCACGCAATTGAATAGCTTTTTTCAATCTCAATTCAATCTCTTATTACTTAACGTTGTTTCTCTTTCTTCTCTCAAACACTCTCTTGTTTTGCTTTAGTTTTGAGTGCGTGTTTCTTTGAGTGTGTTTGTTTGTTTGTTTTAGCCTTGTGTTGGTTGGTTGTCCTTATTCTCTCTTTTGGATGGATTGTGTTTTATAAAACTTTTTGTAGTTTTATTGTTGTTCTTGTTGTACGTTTAAAGGAAGTTTAAAGATTGTTTAGTTTAGGTGTTTTTGTTGTTATTATTATTATTATATTTCTTGTTTCAGTTGTTATTCTTGTTGTTGTCGTTTCAATAATTGAATCTAAAATAGAGAAAGAAAACAAATAAAAAGTGATAATTAATTTACTTGCAATAATCATGTTCATTTAAAATGTTATAATAGAAAAGTAACTGGAATTCAAAAATTGTCTCCCGGTCAGAGGCGTAAGAAAAGTATAATTTATAAACCCTTTTAGCTTAAGAATTTTTCTCGGCCTATAATTAAATGAGTAAGAATGACAGATATTACTGTCATCGGAAAAGAGCAGATAGAGTTGGAAGTATTTATGAAAATAAGAAATAGGGTAAGGGAAAGAACGGAGCCTTGCGGTACCCCTGAAGTTATCTTGAACTCATTTGATGAGATCCCATCTATAACAACTCGTGTAGTGTGATCTCTGAGAAACTAAAATCGAGAGTTATTATTAGCGACACCAAATGCAATAAGTTATGATATAAGTGCACCATGCCACACTTTATCAAACGCCTTTGATATATCGCATTATAACAGATAATGATCGTTGCAGCAAGACTGATAATATGTTATATATCCCAAGAGATTTAAGGAATTGAAAAGATGTCACTGTCCAAGAATTACGATAAATTTTCTCGCGTGTAGCCCAAACTTTCTTAGGCCTCGGCATCTTACGCTTCTGATATACAATCGCAATAGTTACCTAAACTATGTGATTTTCTTTTCAGTTAAATTCATTAAAATCGTGTAAATTTACATAATATTTCGCACAAATGCATATACTTACATACATATGTATGTACGTTGAAAAAACACTTCATAAATCGTAAAAGTATGATTGTTTTTATTTTCTACTATTTTTGTAGAGTGATATAAAATGCATGAATGCGCTTCCGTTATGTCGCGTGCTCATATTATAATTTAAATTTGTAAAACGGAAATGAAACCTATTCTTACTTTAGATTGTTATATTATACAGTACGACTAATAATATTAGCAACAAATATAAAAAACAACCAACTTTACTTACTTAATAGTATGACAAACATTCAAAAAGACAGACAGATATTATACGTGTGTTTTGTTATAAGTTTTCGAGTTTTAAGTATACATGTGAGTTTGTATGTGTGTGTATACTTCCTCATTTACACATATAGACTGTTACCATAATGTGGTAAAAGGATTATTTTTATTATTGTCATGCAGAATTTCAGTTTAGTTACAAATAACAATTGCTGTTCATACTGGTACCATAGTAGAAACAATCACCGCATTTTAATAGAACAGACACTCACACACACACACACCGATATAAAACAATAACAAATTATTCAACACATTGAAATTACAGTGTGTTGCCCGCTTTTAGGCAATTAACACACACACAAACACTTGCAAAAAGTACTAAAATATAGTTGATACATTCCGACTATACGATTCACTACTTCGTGGTTAGGATCTATAACCTATTATATAATAACAAAACTGCTGTAATATCCAAAAGTAGATTAGCAGGGCAACAGCAGATTAGCTTCTACAATTTGGTGGTTACAAGCCTCACGAATTTTACCTCAAAGTTATGATCTGTAGTTTGATTCACGATTTAATCGACAAACACAAGGAGTGATTCTGATTAAGATAAACCCATATTTATTTGTGTTACGAACATCAGAACAAACCGATTATACCTTTCCCACTATATTAGTGTAGGGTATAAAACAAACATGACTTTAATTGTTGAGTTGTTGGTACAAGGGATTTAATGTTTTTAACTTTTTTTATGAGGTTAATTTACAGAGTTGAAATGCTGTAAGGAATGAGGAAACCAAAACATGGACATTAGATACAAAACTATGTTTTTATACAGTATAAGCTTTAATGTTTAATTAAAAATACATAAGTGATTCTAAAACATTCATTTAACAGGATTTGATAAGTTCGTAGCTCAAAAATTTGGAAAAATTAATTAGGTGGTTCGAATGCTATCGAACTACTCTATATTCATTATTACCAAACTAGCAATTAGATATGTTGCAGTTGAATAGTAAAAAAATCATCTTAAAATGCTTCTAAAGGAACCAGTTTGTCATTAGTTAGGCACTTCTTAAGTTTTTGCAATGGGGAAAAATAGCTCTTGTTTAGAGGAATTGCAGAAGGTGGCGCCTAAGTGTGCTTTCTAATACTTTTGCTATGATCCCTTTCAGTTACATAATTATCGAACTTTTCTCAAGAATATTTCCTATACAAGCGATTATTTTATATAGACACCACTATATTAGATTTTCGCACATATGCAACAGATTTTATTCTCATGTTGCTCAAATTTAATTCATATTTTATTTGATTGTTATATAAAATATTTTTCTAGATTTCCAATGCAAACAAATACATACTAACATTTGTATATGTAGGTCATTTATAGAAGTAACAATTGAATAACTTGCTTTTGCTGCAAATTGAAACGTTATCACATAATTTAAACCAATGAAAAATCACATCAAAATGCAATACGAGAGTTCAAAAGGTGGATGCTGTAAAACTGATATTATCTGTTTGAGTTTATGCAAATAAAACTGTTGTAAATATGTAAACAGTATGTAGGTATGTATGAACATTAGGGGTTTAACAATTTTCAACGACAGTTTTCATATACCTATAGTGCATGGTATGACCAGCTAGTTCAGACTATCAAATGTCTAAGATTTTAACAATCATTTACTCAGTAATGTGCTGTTCAGAAATAGCAATTCCAATTATTTACTATAATGTTAGGTTAAACTTTTCCTGTACTACACGATAATTCATGACGATTTTATTCGATATTTGAGCTTAAACGATGCAATTGTATATACAAGCACCCTAATAATGTAAAACTACATTCACATATACATATGACATGTTTTTGGGTAAAACTAAAGTCAAATAAAATATTTCAGTCTAATAACCCTCAAATCGATTTATGCAACAATAACAAACAACGCCTCATAGCACAAACATTTGTAGAATGTGCGTTTCAGTGTTTGGCTTCGTACACAGAAAAAAATATGCACAATTTTTTTCTTAACAATCGTTTGCTTAAATTTAATTTAGATTTTTATAAATATTTTTATTTGGGTTTATAACGAATTTGTTTGATGTTCACACAGAAGGAAAATATTTTCTAACAAACACTTTATTGAAATAAATTTAATTTTCAGTAAATATTTTTACTGATTCAATAAATGTTTTTGTTTGAGTTTTATTTTTATGTCAGCATATGGAATACAAAAATAAAACCAGTTTTGGAATGTACTAAAATGAATTGATATAATTCTTATTTGGTTTATAACATTTAATGTAAGTGTTTCAGTTTTCACAGTACAAAATAATAGTTTCTAGAATTAGAAACGTTTTCTTAAAAATGTTGTAAGTATATATGTAATTTTTTTACTACTTTTAGTTTTAAATATTTTTTGTACAATTTTTGTTAAAACTTAGTATATATTTTTTAACAAAATTTTTATAGATTCAATAAAAAATTTTGCTTATTATTATTGCCAAAATACAATAAATAATTTAACTGTTTCAGATAACCTATTTGCTTGAATTTCAGTACAAATACTAATAACTTGTGTTATTGTTTCAGTGAAATAATTGTTTGGAAATGTTGCGATTATTTATTAATGTTTTTCGTAAATAGTATATTATTTTAATAAGAAAAATCCTGAAATTTTTTCAATAAAGAATTTACGAATTTGAGTACTTGATTTTACGAATTTCGTGATAGGTCCTATTTTAGTAAAAAAAATACTTGACTTTATGAATTTTTTGTTTGATTTTGAATTCCATTTTTTTCTGTGTATTTAAAATACTACGTGTGTTGCACTATCATATACATATTTACATACATACATACATATTTCTTCATATTTGTGTGGTTAGTATTCATAATTTGTAATATATTTGTTCCACTGCATAAATCAATATTTAAGAAACTAAATAAATGAGCTTATTTTAAACTCTACTTAAGTATTAACTTACTATTTACCAAAGAATTAAAATAGGAAAAGTATGTAGACTTAACCGTAGAAGGTTGAAAATAAATAGTAACTATAGCCCCTTGAGTAAATAGATATGAAGCCAGCATGCCGACCAAACAATTCAACTTTTGAGGGAATATTTGGTTATGGTGCTAATCGATATGCGAAAACATACTTTTAAAATGTAAGTTCCTTATTCCATTTCATCAAACTTGTAAAATAAGTACTATATGATGTTTACAAGAGAGATTATACCCTCCCAGCAAAAAAAAGAACTTCCAAAGAAGCGAAAAAGAAGTACTAAAAGACCTGAAAAAGAGGTTACTTCAACACAGGCTTGTCATAGGAGGGATGTCCTTTTAATTTGATTCCAAATTCACTACATCTGAAGTCATTTTCAAGAAGTAATTTTTATGCTCTTTTTTGGAAGTTATTCGGAAGTGAAATTGTAGTATTATAGAATACAACTAATTTGGCCTAAATAGACCCATTTAAAAATGGAAAAATAAAAAATATATCTTCAACATTGAAAAACTATAATTATTTTCGCATCTTCGGAAGTCTTTAAACATCACTTCCTCAGAATGTTAAAAAATTCATTTAGTACTACTTTTGAAGTGGTGATAAATGTTATTCTTTTGGAAGTACTTCGTTTTATTTTTGCTGGACTACTCCGGATGTATGTATGTAATTATTTTTGGGTTTAGAAGCGGCAAAAAGTTTGGAAATGCGCTTATATGGGAAAAATTTTAAAATATTCAAAAAATTAATCAAAATCGGGTTTAAGCTTTTCAAATTCTCAATTTCAGCTAAATTATCAACAATAACTTTCTATGGAAAATTAAAGAAATTAACACCTTCATCCAATGAGATTCAGTCCATTTTTGACTCTAGCTCCCATATAAACTCTACCTTTTTGTAGCAGGTGTAGAGTATCATATAGTCGGTCATAACTACTATGTATATTTACTTACTTGTAGCTCTTTATTAAAGTTAATATCATCATTATATTGCTTGATAATTCCTTACTATTTAATAAATAAATAGTAT